CATCTACGTCGACTCTAATTTCTTGGAAATGATTTTTCTTTTTTCAAATAATGGAATGAATGGAATGACTAAGAGTTCCTAATAATTGTTTGTCTTTGAATACAGTATGTATATTGTATAATAATGCACATAAATGCAGCAGCAAAGTTAAAGAATCAAACAATAGAGCTAGGTTTTAGAATATTAAATCCGTACTACAATGCATTGATTTATATACGCTCTATGTTTGCGCACTTGAGATTCAAGTTAGAAGAAAAATCAAGTCCACCAAAGAGGAAATGGTTATAGTTTTTTTTTTTTACGTTTAGAAAAATTGTTCATATATATATACAAAATTTTAACTTTGCCTTGTGTATATAGTTTGAAAGATCAACTAAATCTTCGTAGATAAATAATATTATCGGATAAAATGGAGATTAATAATATATAATATCATCAGTACAAGAAAGTCATTTTATTTTAAAAACATATAAAAGATATCTCTACTATTATTCATATTTTATTAAAGTTATTTTAGTAATTTTAATAGTTAAAAAGTGTGGTTTTCAAAAACTATAAATAAAGATGTATTTTTCAAATTTGAAAACACAGAAAGATTGTTTTCCAAATTTCCTCAATATTAAATTACTTTATAGATGCATTTCATTTTCGCATCTAGACATCTTTTATTTTGACAAAAAAATGAACATCATCGTTTAGATAACTAACCGCGCCGCCCATATGAGATGTCTTTACCGTAACGTATCTGATTTAGAAACCCGGTAAATAGAAACTGGTTTATTGATGAAGAATAAAGAAATGGGCCTGTAATAATTAGATCAAAAGGCCCAAATGTTAGTATGTAGATTAGGGTTTGGAGTCTCCACTTATATTGTTTGTCCAAAAAGAAAACCCTAATAAGAGAAAAGAGGCGAAAATGGTGCAGCGTCTTGTTTACCGGTCGCGACACAGCTACGCCACCAAATCCAACCAGCACCGCATCGTCAAGACTCCAGGTGCCTGGCTTCTTCCTCTCTCTCTCTTTCTCTGCGTTATACAAGAATGTGTAATCTGCGATCTGTTCACAGTTTAATGTATGTGGTGTTTCTGCAGGAGGTAAATTGGTGTATCAAACCACAAAGAAGAGAGCCAGTGGCCCCAAATGCCCTGTTACTGGAAAAAGGATTCAGGGAGTAAGTTTTCTAATTTCGATTCAGGGAGTATGTTTTGTTAGTGTTCTGGAATTGAGATTTAGACCATTTATCTTGGTTTGGTTTTATCTGATTTTGGACGAATCTAAGGGATTTAAACCATTTCACAATTGTATATTTGATATATGTTATACAAATGAATCAGTCGGATTGTATGCTTTTCTATTATTGATTTGTGTCTAGATTAGTTGTATTCTTCTGGGCATGCCCTCTTCTTAACTTGTGCTTATTGACGGTCTTGTGCTGGTTAGATTAACTCCCATCAGTACATAACATAATCATAAGCTAAATTGTTTGTGCCACGTTGTCTTTCAAGTTCTTGCTTCTATTACATAAGGGATTGCTATCTACCTGTGGCGTAGATTTTCATTTCTCCAGAGATTTCCGTGTTATTTTTGATGAATTAAGCTGCGATTGTTTTATACGTGTGCATTTTGTGAATGACATTGTATCTGTCTATTCAGATCCCTCACTTGAGGCCTGCTGAATACAAGAGGTCAAGATTATCAAGAAACAGGAGGACCGTTAACCGTGCATACGGTGGAGTCTTGTCTGGTTCTGCAGTCAGGGAGAGGTTTGTTGTTCGTTTTAAGTCTTCTCTCTCTGTTTCTGAACTTTGGAGTTGTTAAACTCATTGGTGTGTTTGAATTCTGACAGGATCATCCGAGCATTCCTTGTGGAAGAGCAAAAGATTGTTAAGAAAGTGTTGAAACTCCAAAAGTCTAAGGAGAAAGCAGCTCCCAAGGCTTAAGCGGACTATGTTTTTTTATCTTTGTTTTGGGATTATGGCTATGTTCAAGTGATAGGACTTGGTGCAAGTCATGGGAAAACATCTATGTACTCATCCAATTTTTAAGCTTTGTATTTTGTTTCGGGTTTTTAATTTTGTCTGACAATTCTCTTCGTATCAGTTTTGGTTTTTGCTTCAATTGTTGAATCCACCTTTAATGTTCGACTGTCTAAGATCACCTTTACGTCTTGG